TTGGGTGTGGATTCTTTCTGCTTTAGGCCCCGTGTGATAACGTCCTAAAAGAAACCCTAGCTCTCCCAATTGTTGGTGGAGATGATGACAGCAAAAACAATTTTTCCCCGTAGTTGGGAATAAAAGGACCCTCAAAGAAACTTGAGCAACCATCCTGAAACAGCAAACCAAAAATAGTGGGGAGGGTTATACTGGTCAAAGACCAAATAAATTGAATTGAATAGTGGGGAGGGCAACCATCAGAGATTTGAGTTTGATGTGGGCAGAGACTGCATGTGACAAAATGGTTGACTTGTACTTTTCTTTTCTTTTCTTTTTCTACAGAGAGAGAAACTCCAGTGATACAGCTGAATATTTGTAGCAGCTGCCAGCCCTCAGGGCCTCTTCTGTCTGACTGCAGGATCCTTTCCCAGCTGCATGATTAAAGGCAGCTCCTCTGCACACTTACCTGGGAGTAAGTCCCATTGAACTCAGAGGGACTTACTCTTGAGTCCACCTGCATAGGAGAGATTACACTGTAGGGGGATTGGGGCTGTAATCATAAACATTCTTTCTAAGAATTTAGGCAAGTGGGACTTACTTCTGTGTGAACATGCATAGAATTGCACTGTAAGTGGGAGAAGATGCTCCATTTAGACATCTCCAAATTGGCCTTGAGTTCAGGGTCTTGTCTACTCTCTCCTTTGTTCCCCAGTGCCAAAGCTTTTCTTTCTGTTGAGATTCACAGTGATTCACAGGGATAGTAGCCTCAGACCTCTGATTTCCTCCCCCCCCCAGCTCTTTTTCAATATGGCCACTGGTTATATTCCTTCCTCTCTCTGTAAAATGTCACCAGAAGTTCTCCACTTCTAAAAACACAATTCCTATGATGTACTGTGTAAACTTTCTCTAGCCACATTTGTCTCAGTGTCAAGGAGGAAAAGTAATTTCTACCTTTTCAGATACTATTCAGTATTGTCTCATTTTTGTATGATAAAAGTTACATTAAAGAACAAAAGGCTTTAAGAAAATTAAGGCAGAATGATAAGAAGAATAGTCTCTAAAGGAGGTTTTTTACTTGTCCCATCAGACAAAGTTCACAAATCAAAATTCATAACATCAGTTCATGTATTATTGTGGTGGCTTCACACTTCAGTGAGAATCAATCACATTTGAACTTAATGGGATTTGCTTCTAAGAGTGTGTAATATGCTACAAAAGTAGTCTGTCACATCCTCCTGGCAAAATCCTGAGTCTTTTTTTGTAGACTGATTTGAGTTCCATTTTTTCTTTCACCAGAATGTATCAATGTGGAAAAAATTGCATATTTTTTCTAAGAAACACCATGCACAGTTCATTGCCTGAAGCTTTTACGTGAATGTCCTGGAGGAGTTCACATATGGGATTAGGAATCACAATACATCACCTTTTCAGTTCTTTTACCCTTCTTCCAGGTAGCCTTTGATTCTGTTTTCTTCAGATATTCAAGTTTAATTAGGTCTTCCTTTGTTCTTGTAATGCCACCCTTAGAATTTCAGATTGTAATGGATACAAGTCAGTCTAACCATATCCACAAATGTTTCTAATGCAGACATTTAGGTAAAGATTGTAGAGATGTACACATGTTTTGTGTACAGCTCCATTCTTGTACTCTTCTCCTGGTGCCATTTGGGACAGATCAGCAGGCTTCAGCTAGATTTCCATTCCTAGATATACACAAATCAGAGCTTGGGAAGTTGCTCTTTCGTATTGTGACTCCTACAATTCCCCAGCCAGCTTGTCCAGTACATTTGCATAACTTTTTAATCTCTGATAGGAGTGGACTGATCCTTCAGAGCCATTCTTCAGTCAGGTCCACCAGGGCCAACATACACCACTGCAGCTCCCCACATTCAACCTTCCCAGCCCAAAGCTAGCACAAAGAACCACTGTTCAGTTAGTGCATATCATTTTTATCTATTTAGAAATTCTGGGCATAGTCCATGCGTGCCTCCAATTCACACCGTTGTACAGAGACCAAAAGCAGAAAATGTTTGTACATAATGAACCTTATTTTGTATTATTGCCAATCCCTTAAGATATTGTATTTTGGAGACTCTCAGATCCTATTTTCTGTATTGTATTTTATTAAGAGTTATTGCGGGCTTGGCCTCTATGAACTTCCTCTCTTTGCAGGGTCCTGTTTCCTCTTAGTCTACCAGCCGGTGTTTGCTTTGTTCTGTTTTTAATATATCACTGTTTTCCTCCTGTTACTAGCTCTGCAATGGCTTTCAAGCAGCAAAATTAAAAAAAAAAAAGATGCAGCATCAGCTCTGTTGTTTGGACTTTTCATTATCATTACATTGATAAACTATTAATTTAACAAATGTTTGGTTAAATGCGGTTTGCCATCATCCCCTGAATAAATGCACTCTTTCATCATGAACAGAGAGAGACCTCTAAGCAAAAGAGAGTGCTTCTCTACAGACTTGTACAGAAACTTTATTACTACATTATGACAGCAGTAGGTTCTCACAAGTCTGTCATTGCACTAGTGTAGCCTTGCAGCAGAAGTCTTATAACCTGAGTGACACATTAATTATATTATGTTTAATACAATATAGTGGATAGCAAGTCTTCTCACATGGGGGTTATTCCTTGCCACTGGGAGAAAAACATTTTTTTAATGTTGATTTTAGTAAAATATTTATATCCCACCCCATATCGCAGGATCTTAGGGTGGTATGCAAATAAACCAATTAAAAATGATTTAAACTAAAAAGAAAATAGGGAACAGTTTCAGCAGTTTTTTAAAGAATATTAAACTACCTAACAGTTTAAAACAAAAGAAAAGAGTTTAAAGTACATATTTGGACAAAATCATGAAATACTAAAGGTTTTGATAAAGCATTTGATTTTAACTTGGCACTGGAATGAAGCACCAACCAAGCACCATTGGCACTGCAATCAAGGTGCCACAGCAGAAAAGACCCTTCCCCATTCCTCTCTGTAGGATGTTGCTGTTATTGTGTGCCTTCAAGTCATTTCTGATTTATGGCAACCCAAAAGCAACCCTATCACAGGGTTTTCTTGGCAAGTTTCTTTAGAGGGGATTTGCCATTGCCACCCTCTGAGGCTGAGAGAGTGTAACTTGCCCAAGATCACTAGGGGAGGGGGTTTCATGGCTGAGCAGGGATTCAAACCCTGGTCTCCAGAATCGTAGTCAAACTCTTATTGGTGAGACACAAAGAAGAGCTCCTCCAGCAGATCTCAGTGCTCAGGTCAGTGTAGATAGGAAGAAGAGCTCCTTCAAGTATCAAGGTCCTACACACAACTGCTTTGAATTACAGCACCTTGAATTCAGACCATGAGCATTGGCAGCCAATGCAATTACTTCAGAACTGGTGTTACAGGGTTTCTGTGTAAAGTTTGGGTCAGCAATCTACCCATTGAAATTTGCCCTCGCTTCATCTGTGGCAACCCCCCATAGAGTACATTGCAATGGGAAGTTACCAGTGCATGAACTACTGTGGCTAGGTTATTGCTGTCCAGGAAATGCAACAGCTGACAGTCCAAACCACACAGGTCACCTAGACCTTCATAGACCAGAGAAATGTCCAGGAGTTCTCCCAGGCTGTGCAGCTGATGTTTCAGGGCAACTATAATCTCATCCAGGGCAGGTCGTTTAGCCAATCTCCAAGAACATCCAAACTACAGAGCCTCTGTATTATCAGGTTTTGGCTCCACTTAATAGTCTTCATCAAAACCATTGTAACATTCAGGCCCTGGTCCACCACTTTTGCAGCCTCTAGGACAAGAAGAATTGATCTCTAGGACAAGAAGAAATGCTAAGTGTGTTAGCATACTGATGTCACCCCACATCTAAACATCTGCTGATGTCACCCAACTGTTTCATATGTATTAAACAACATGGGAAATAGGATGGAAATGTATGATGTTCCATAGTTTAATGGGACTAAATAGGAGTTCACTACTGCCACTTTGTGAACAAGCCCTAAACACAATGCTTCCTGCTCCCTTTGCAAAGAGCTGATCCATTAGGACTTTGAAAACAAACCAACAATGTTAGAAGAAAGAGAGGAAATTATTTTTTATAATAAACAAATAAATAACTTAGTAGCAAATAGTTTGAAATAGGAAGGCATTGGATCCTGTGTGTTTGCTACTATGTTTTTTAAAGCCCAATTTGGATTCCAAGAGCCAGTGTGGTGTAGTGGTTTGGGTGTTAGACTAGGACTCTAGAGAACAGGGTTTGAATCTCTGCTCAGCCATGAAACCCACTGGAGTCATTGGACAACTCACATTCTCTCAGCCTCAGAAGATGTCAATGACAAATCCCCTCTGAAGAAATTTGCCAAGAAAATGCTGTCATACAAAGAATGTACATATTTATTCTAAGCGTAACAGTTTTGATCAGATTTTATGGTGGAAAATGCTATGGCAATTTCCCAAAGACTATAATGTTTTTCATTGAAACACTGTGGTTTTATTTAAACCACAGCCTTGTGTGGTGTGCCTTCAAGTCATTTCTGTAGGGTCACCATAATTTGAAAACAACTTAAAGGCACACATCAACAACAATCTGGATTCCAAGAAGTGTGCATCCTAGATATTATGATTTTTAAATGAGCAAATTAACCCTTTTCAAAAGGACCAACAATCAGAAGTGGGGATAATCACTGCAGTCATCCATTCATACCTCAATATCCATATTACCATTATGCAAATTGTAGCACCTTTGGGACTAGCTGAGAGAAAGAAGTTGCAGAAACTTTCATAGACTTAATACTTCCTCAGATGCATGGAGTGAATTAATGCCATATTACCATGTTAAATGTAACTATGATGTGCTGAGAAAATGGAGGGAGTGTTCACTCCATTGCACCAACACACCTCAACTATTTCTGGGCTCCCACCAAAGCTAGCAGTATGACCTGAAGGGGAAAAGTGAGTATTACAAATTACACTACACAAAAAGGTTCTCAAGAAATTAAGGGTATGCAAAAACTCTAAAAAGTGAGCATGTAGAGGTGCTAACGGTTGTGTGAGCTCTGAAAAGCCTTTCTCTGAAGATAAAATTCCTTAGGAATACTAAACAGGAAATACCTAGCTACAAGTAAGGACTTGCTGATCCTACTTCAAAATGCATATTCAAATAGTCTTCCAACATTACACCCACCCACTTATCTAAAAAAATAAAAAATCATAGCCTTTGAGAAATTGCCATAGCATTTCCCACCATAAAATGTGATCAAAACTGCTACACTTAAGTGAATCCATAGATTCTTTGTACAAGGAGCATTATAATTGAACCTTTAAATTTTTGTTTCCTGCATTTCCAGCTCAACTAAATAAAGCTATGATATATGGAATGAATGTGTGTTCAGTTTTAAAATGGCTCCAATTTTATCTCCTGCATCAGCAGGGTTCATAACGTAAAAGGAAAAGTTTTTAACAAGAGAGTTGAACATGCATGTCAGGGGGTTTACTTGCAGAAAATTACAGGATGCAGACTTTTACATTTTTACATCCTGGTAGGTGGGCGGCCTTTCAGCAAATTTTACCTGGTACAGATTGCAGCTGCTCACTTCTTTTTTGAGACTGGTCCAAGGATTGGGAACTTCCAAACTATGGACCTGTTAAGGACTGTAGAGATTCATCATCTGACCCCAGCTTTCACAGGGCCTGCCCCCTTATTGGGACACTATACCCTTCCCCAACCTCAGCACCAGAATGGAAAAATGGGTTATCGTGGGTAAAAGATATACCTTTTTTTTTTTTTTTTTTTTTTGCCATCACTGTGCAGCTGGGCTGGAAAAAAGGGCTTTCTCCCATTTGCAGTAAGAAAAAAAATAGTTTTTTTCCTTGTTCTGTACAAAGAAAGAGAGGCCTTCTCTGTGCAAGAGTTTTAAAAACATACTTGCACAGAATACATGTCACAAGCTTTTGAAGCTTCTCTGGCTTCTTTATCAAGCAAAGGTATTAAAAATCATACAGGAGGGGGAAAAATAAATGATGTTAGTCATAGGTCTGCATTTTGTCAAGATGTCATCAGTTGGTGGTTTTCTGAGTTAAGATGGTAATGGATGGATATCTATGTAGGCAGGCCACTCATTGTTCTGGCCATGTAGTACTGGGAGACAGTGGCATCACTATGGCTGGTGTCACCTGGTGTGGTAACTCTTGATGTCACACACACCCCATTGACCTTCTCCTAGACCACACCATACAGAATCCTTAGTAAAGATTTTTGTACTAATGTGACTCATAAATCATAATTCCCATATATCGCTGAATTTGATGGTAATAGTTGTGACATAAACAACTACTAAAATAAAAACTATACCTTTAAATTACAACATGATGCACACAGAATAAGCATGTTTACATATATTGTTTCATGTGGTTAAAATGAAAATTTGGTGAAATGTGATGTTTTAAAAGATTTTTTTTTAAAAAATAAAAATTTTAATATTTTTAATTTAAATATAAATAAAATTTTAAAACATTAAATTTTGAAATTTGAAATTTTAAATTTTTTAAAAGAACCTGGGGCATCTCCTTTCTCCTCCCATTGAGCCTCTCCCCACTCACATCATCTCTTACAGCATTTTAAAGAGATACAGGAAGAGCCCTGGTGGTGCAGTGGTTAAATGCCTGTACTGCAGCCACTCACTCATAAACCACAGAGTTGCAAGTTCAGTACTGGCCAGGGCTCAGGCTAGACTCAGGCCTGCATCCTTCCAAGGTCACTAAAATGAATACCCAGCTGTTGGGGGGCAATCAGCTCACAATTGTAAACTGCTTAGACACCCCATAGCGTGGTATGAAGCGGTATATAAATGAAGCTGCTTTTGCTATACAGGTGAATGCCACAGCCAATTTCTGCCAAAATGCAGATGTTTGAGGAGCAGTGGTGTGTCCCCCCAGCAAAGTGTCACCTGGTGCAGACCGCACTCTCCGCAACCCCTAGTGACTGCTGGGAGACAAAGCATTTTAAAGTCCAGGAAATAAAACTTAAATTCCATGTGCAACACAAAAAAGGTTCTTCCTTTGATATCATAGATATCAGGCCTGTCTGATATGGGATACCCTACCAGCAGTGCTGCTACCATCAGCATAGGCTCTTGTCTCACAGAAGCATGCAATCACACCACAGTGGAAAGGAAGCGTTATTATGATAAAGTCTGGATTAAAATAGGAATGACTCACAATATAATATTGCTGGAAAAATCTATTCTCCCCCCCCCCCCCCCATTGTGAAGATGACAGATAAAAATGGTGTCAGGCTAGGACAAAGTGGATTAGACTACATATCATCATGGCCAAGGGACAACTCATCCGGAAGATGCCAGATTGAGGAAGGCTGAGCTACAAAAGGAAACCACAGACAAAGCTTGAAGAAAACTGTTGACTGAATCCAGAGTAGAGTTCTTCATAGTTCTACCTTTCTAGCAGAACTCAACAGCCAATATATGGTTATATGGTGGCTAGTCCAGCAAATCAGATTATGAAGATGCTGCTGCTCTAGGCTCCCAGGGGAAGGAGGGAAGGAGAGGAGCACACAATCTGTGGCTGCATCTTTGTTTCTTCTCCCCTCCCAGCTGAGACCAGCTGCTTCAACACCATCAGAATTTCCTTCCCCTGCCTTACACACTGGTAAGTAGCAGCAGCCCTCCTACAGCTTGGCAGCTGTGAGGGCAAGAGTGCAAAATGGAACTGCATGGACAAACTATTATACTCCATCTGTTTGATGCATGACCTTGGCCACTATTGTGCTGATCCCTTCTTTGGATGTGGGGGGTGTAGCCTCAGTACACACTATTACTTTCCTCAGTCTAGACATTATACTTCTATTGATGCAGAAATGCAAAAGGTGTTCCTTGCTGATGGTCTTAACAGGAGTCATTAATGGTTGCTTGGCAGCCATTGGGAGATGGCAAGCACAGATCTTTATGGTGGTTATTAAGACTTGTATGACTTTGGATGCAGTAGTTTTTCAGTCAGAACATTATCCCCTGAAACTGCTTCAAATAGCAAGGCTATCCTCTGTCTAATAATATGTTTAGGCCAAGTTCCTGTATCACACGGGTATAACACATAGCACATGGAATTTTGCATCCTTTCTCTTGTGTCCTCCCAGGCAGCTTCTGTAAGCTGGGACATACTGTGAAAGATATAACTGGCCATGGGGTGGAAAGGGTGGTGAGAGGCACCAGGGAAGTTCCCCACAGCACTTCTCAGCCAGAAGAAGAGAGCTGACGTCACCCTCCCAGATCTATAGTCACTTGTGTGTACTATATTAAAGCACCACCATCCTGCCAACACTTCACAATCAGTAAATAACTACTGCAGTGTGTCCTGGTACATAGAAGCTGTCAGGGAAATGGAAGTTTCACAAAAAGGTGTTGAATATCTCCTTTGCAACTTCTCCCAAAAGGACACATGCGAATGTAATCTGGAATAATGTGGTGCATATGTCTCCAAAAGGATTGTAGCTGTGGTCACCTAGTTCTGCTCACCACATGGAGCAGTACTGATTAGGATTTCTCAGTCTAGATCCAGCAGCCCCTCCTATTACCTACATCTGTTGTCTTGATGTGCAACCTTGGCTTATTTCAGAAATATTGTGGAAGCAAAATGTTAAGCTATGCGTTCTAGATAGGAAGTCACTTAGTGAGTATTAGGTGCAATGATATTCATTGGGTGATTTTTGGTCACTAATTAATGCTGATATTAAACTAATGGTGCTGGCTTACTTTGAAGAAAAAATAAATAAATTCCATGTATGTTTTTCTAGTTCCTTGCAAGGAAAGTGGGTTTCAAATATAATAAATAATTCTTCTACTGCCAACTGTAACCTTTACAATGGCTAATTGTGCCAATGACATGGTTGTCATCATGTCATCAACCAGATTCGGGGGGGGGATTACATTTTTTTTATGATGATTCCCAGAATCCCCCAGCCCAGATCACGACTGAGGGAGTTCAAAACAAGAACATTTTCAAACTGTGATCTCAGCATTCCTGGTTATAGCTACTAAAATTATGGAATGGTTGTATAGAAACTCATAATATAGGATCAATTTATTAATGATTATTAATCAAGATCACTAAATTAAAGTTTTATTTACAGAGGCAATACATCTCTAAATAATAGATGCCACAGACAAACAGCAGGGAAAAGCTCTTGCCTTCAGGCTTATAAGATGGATCTGGCCAGCTGTTGGAAATAGAACAAGATGCTGCTGGGCTACACAGGGTCCCTTTT